GAAAATCAAAGTACGAGTTTCTCACCTGATGGTCCTATTGGATGAGAAGGTATTATATCTTTATAAATTGTTTACATTTATTAAATTTTTTATAAACCTTTGTAGTTTATATTAATTAATTTTATGATTAGAACAAATTAAATTTTTTGTGATTTAGGTAGCTTAATCAAGTCATCAAATTAACTTAATTTTGATTACGTTCATACCTCAATCAAAGCCAACTTTGTAAAATTCGTCCATAATTAATTGAAAGAAAAGTTTACTCAATTAAATACTTTTCATTTGTTACAAATAAGAAGCAATATTGCACGCATTGTCAGTGACAACAAAATAATGATTCAATTTTTCAAAATACTATTGTTCGGGCGATTAGGGACGATGAAAAAATTCCAATGCATAGATTTGATTTTGTACAATTACAATTTTTAGATCAATTTCACAACAATTTTTCACTTCCTGGTAAATATATTGATTTATTTTATAAGACTATAACAGTTAATTTTACATAATTTTTTTTTTTGCTAACATGTTTTATTTATCCATTTTTATTAGACGGAAGAGATATGGGTGTGAACGAAGTAGGTGATTCTATTGAAACAGAAGATAAATGGTTACATTTTTTTTATTATTTTTTATTATTTCTATTTTTTTAAAAAATAACTAATAATGATTTAGGATTTAATTAATTCAAAAAATAAAAAAAAAATATTTTTTCACATTAAAGATTTTAACCAAATATGTAATCGATAAAATATCATATTTACAATTTTTTTTGAAAGATATCATATTTACAATTTATTCATATTATTAAATTCAGTTGTTATATAACTAACAACAACGAATAAAATACTAAAAAAACAATAATTAAAGTCGCATAATAAATTAGATTAAAAAAATAAATTTATACTTTTAATAAAAACTTTGAAATTTTTATGATGCGCGGTTTTTTCATCTAAATTTTTTAATTATTTGATTTATTGTATTTAATAATTTTAGACAAAATTATAAAAGTTTAATATTTATTTATTTATTTTTTTTTACTATAATTTATAATGAATTTATTAAATATAAATAAATTATAAATATGATATTTTCTTCATTATATAAAATCTTTAATGTGAAATGATAAATTTTTAATAATTTAAATTTACCATATCTTTTATTTTGATGGAATCACCAACCTCATCCACATCCAACCTACTACATCAATGGATAAATTGAACCGTGAAATGTTAGCCAAATTGAAATTGATATAAATTAAATCTTTACATTTATATAAAATAAATCAATATATTTACCAATAAATGAAAAATTATTGCGATATATAAATCAAATCTATGCATTAGAATTTTTTCATATCTCCAAAAATAACCAAAGCCATCCATATATTAAGTGTACAACATCTAATCGTATGCCATTACATAAACAAATAATCATTAAGTATCCTAAATAAATACAATGTAACTAATGATTACAAATATAAATTTAAACATAAGATTTTAAAAATTACCCGGACATTAATGACCTAAAACTAATACAAAATTCGCTTTAACACAAAATTCGCTTGATGGGGTGTTGTATTGATACGAAATTTTATTTGTGTAGTATGATGTGTTAGATCTGCATGTAAAAAAACATTTAATAAATAAAACATAAACATATAATCGTTGAGTATCCCAAATTAATACAATGTAAGTAATAATTAAAAATATTAATTTAAACATAGGATTTTAAAAATTAAGCTAAAAATTACCCTGCCATTGATGACCAAAATTAACACAAAATTCGCTTGATGGAGTTTTTTATTGATACGAAATTTTGTTTGTGTCATATGATGTGTCAATTTATAATGGTAGGTACACAGATTTTAATTTAATTATAATTAACAAAAAATTTGTATTTCTTATCATAAACTATCAAAAATTATCTTATAATGATAGGTATCAAACTTTATTATAAGCGTTTATCATTTTAATATTTTTTAGTATTTTTTTTTTGGATTTCTTATACTCGTAGTATTGTATTAATAAATTTATCTTTTCCTATATTTTTACTTTATATTTTTTCATTAAAATAATTTAATTTGTGGATTATAATCCACGTGACATTAAAATTTTAGATATATCAAATCTAATTCGTTACTTTGATTTAGGTGACGACATAATTTTTTAATTCAAAAATAAAATAAAAATCTTTCTTCTTATTGGTCGAAATATGTATATTTCTTACGTGGCGCTCCAAATGCTCTCCAAAAATGCCTACTTTATATATACATATAGGGTCGGAATCCGGTGAGAACCATCCTTTATGTGAGAACACTCCTAATATATGAGAACAAATCTAAGCCTTAGGATCAAACAATATCAATGGCTCTAATAAATCCAAACTTTTCATCCATATACTTCCTACTACTCAGAAAAACAGAGTGAAGAAACTACGAGCTTAAATTTCAATGAGATTGAAGGATTTCGAACATAATTCCGTTTGATTTTTGTCAGATTTCAGCAGCAACAAGAATCAACAAGCTTCATAGATTATACAGGTAAATAATCAACAAAAGTTATGTTAGTTTTTTCCGAATCTAATTTTCTTAAATTTTTGTCAGTATTTTTGAATTTACGCAATGTTGTTGTTTATCATTATCCTGTTTGTGTTGACGGATCCTTTTACTTAGTAAATTAATTTTTGTTATGAATTCTGTAATTGTGTTGCAATTAAAACTTGGTTTAAAATGGGTTATTGGTGCATTTTTATGATACTTATGAATATCCTGATAGTGCATACAAGGTGTTTTATAAAATGCTTGTTAGAAATCTTGTGACTTAGTACTATATTATCAATGAGTTTGTTTTGAATGAGTTTGTAGGTAATACTTCGGATACTTTTGATGCGGAAAATGAACTGCCCTTTGTTATGTATTCTTTTTACCCTTTATTTTGTAATTATTTGATAAATTCAATAGAAGATATGTAAAATGAGCAAACATAATTAAAATGAGCAAACTAAATATGAAAAGTAATATAGTGAAAATAAAATGAGCGAACAAAAATAAAATGAGCAAATTGGTCAAAAATGGATGAAAATGAATTTAGGAATAGATATGGTTCTTCTTCTGGGTCTGTAAAAAGAAGGCTTGTGAAAAGGCCTAAAAGAGTTAATTCTTCAGATGTTGAAGCTATGCAGATTGCTGATGCTCATGCTCATCACACTAAGGTTTTGTTTCTTTTTCCCTATCTATGGTTTAATTTTGTCGTGTCATATTAATTTTTCTATATGTAGCGTTAAGGGCTAAGTATAGACATTAAATATATTTCCGACAATAGTACTTCATACAGGATTGATTTAGATGTTTAATGTCTTTATTTATTGCAATTGTTGTCCGAGTTAAAAAATTTCAAGTAATTCATCAATCAAGGGTGTTGAGATTTCTGGGAATTTCAGACAAGTGAGGGATGAAATGTGCATAAGAATAGGGGTGTGATTGTGGTTGTGCTTTAGGCCACATTTAATTTTATGATTAAACTATGTGACACTTTTGAGATCATATATTTCTTGTGGTACTACTATATTTGATCATTGTACCATGATATTCTCGTAATGATTTTTTTTTAATCACCAAATCAAATGTGGCATATTAATGTCTTTGATAAGGCATCTGACAGATGGAATAGTGTCTCAAATCATTTATGTTTGCTGCTGCGAATTTTGTGATGAGATAATCAATTAATCATCATATTGTCTGATTCACAGAAAAACTAGGAATGAATATTGTATGAAGTTTTGTTTTGCATTACAATGCTAATACAATATCAGATTGAGCTCTTAGTCTTTTCCTCTGAGACTTTGTATTAGCTTCCCATGGACGAAATTTTGGCAAACTACTTTAAAAATGTTGTTTGTGTTATTGAGTACAAATCAATTATTGTGCAGGAACTATCTACACGACATACTCTTTCATTGGCATTCCAAACTCTTGGTGTGGTGTATTGCGACGTGGGCACAAGTCCTTTATATGTCTTCACTGACGTGTTTAGCAAGGTTTTTATAACATCAGAAGTTGATATTCTGGGAGCACTATCTGTATTAATGTATACGATAGCCCTTGTGCCCTTGGCAATATATGTATTTATAGTGCTTAAAGCTAATGATAATGGGGAAGGTACATGAATGATTTTAATCTCCAACTTTCTTTTCGCCTTATGTGCTTTATCATGAGTTATTTTGCATCTAAAAATAATAGGCTACTTCTGGATGCAGGAGGGACATTTTCCCTGTATTCTCTTATAAGCAGGGACATTTTCCCTGTATTATTCTTTGCTCATTTTGCCAAATGAGCAAATTATTCTTTGCTCATTTTGTCAAATGAGCAAATAATTCTTGGTCATTTGTCAAATGAGCAAAAAGATCTTGCTTATTTGTCAAATGAGCAAGCAATTATTTGCTCATTTATCAAATGAGCACATAATTGTTTGCTCATTTATCAGACGAGCAAACAAATCTTTGCTCATTTATCAAATGAGCAACAATTCTTTGTTCATTTTATCAAATGAGCAAACAATTCTTTGTTGATTTATCAAATGAACTGGTTAAAAATTTATAACATAAAAAATGATTTAAAACATATCATAAAACCTATTAGCTCAATTGGTAGAGCACTATGCAAATGCATAGAGGATGTAGGTTCAATTCCTACATAGGTTATCTCTATAAACAAAATTAATTAAAAAAAAAAATCAAATTCGTACTAATTATATGAGCAAAAAAATGGTTTGAAATGATTTATAACTATATAAACTTTGTTACAATTAAACTCTCATACAAACTTGTGTCTCCACATTACATAAATAAACCTACGTGGGATTCGAACCCACATCTTTTGTGCATTTGCACAATGCTTTACCCTTTAGCTAGTAGGCTAATGTATTTAAAACATTCAAACACACTCACAAATGAGTATTAATTTGACAAAATGAGCAAGAATTATTTGCTCTTTTGAAAAATGAGCATTAAATAGTTTGCTCATTTGACAAACGAGCATTGAATTTTTTTGCTCATTTGACAAATTAATGCTATGATGAAGCTAGATAAGCTCTGATGATCAAAATTGTTTAGTTTGTGCTGATGCAAATGAGACTCGATCTTAGGCAGTTGAACAAATGAGCAAAAAAGTATTTGCTCATTTGATAAATGAGCAAATAGTTAGTTGCTCATTTGTCAAATGAGCAAATAGTTAGTTGCTCATTTGTCAAATGAGCAAACATTTCGCTAATCATTCATTTGTCAAATAGTTAGTTGTTTCCTTCTGTTTCCCTGTCAATCTTAACATCATAGAATTCAGCTGCCAAAATAAAAAATTCTTCACATAATTCATAACTTTCTTCCACCCCTGCTCGTGTCCCTGCATTCCATGCTTTTGCTGCAATCCAGTTTCGTTCTCGCCTTCCAACCTCGCCTTTCCCAAAGAAATTATCAGGCCCTAGCTCAGTCATCCTAGTTTGGGCTCTCTTCATATATTTCAGGACATCAAGCTCATGACCAGATTCTTGAACAAGGATTTCCAGAGTGGTGCGGATCACAACTATCTCAGCTATCGGCATTGGTTTTCCTGATGTGTAGAAGTTGAGGAGATCATGCAAAGAGGAAACAACAACTTCAAGTGCACGACATGCAACAGCTTCATGTGCTAGAAGTGAAAGGAATTCTGTAGTGAAGTCACTGCAGCCCATCATAGCTTAAATTTGAGTTATAGCAGTAGCGTGGTCATTCTCTTGCAAGTATATCTTGAACTGCTCACAAATCAGAAGAGAAAAAAACTAATACAGTGAGGCCATGATAGAATGAAATAAGGTTTCTTCTGTCAATATAAAAAAAAGCAAGCAAAACGTACAATACCTTCAGAAATCAAAATCTATATCCATATTTCATACTACTTTAACAGCCACAACAAGCGACACTTGAAAAGTTGAAAGCATTATGCAAAGATATTTACCTCAAAAACTACATTCCACTTCAGAAAAAGTTGGAATTCTTTCAATTGAAAATATCACTCTTTCTAAAACTAACAAATTAGACTTTTAGTAAAATTATGAAATATACTTAATAAAAGTTGTTGGGACAATGTCACAAATATTTCAAATTGCAATCTGCTTGTTTCATAGAGCAAGATCTCCAATACTATCCCTTCCCCATACAAGGTATGTCCAAAAGGACCAGAGCAACATCCATAACATTCAATCATCAGATGATTTAAACAGCTAAACAAGGATATAGAAATATCAGATTATTAGACAAGATTTACAACTAAAAATATGAACCACTGACTAGGTCTTCCCAGAAGCGCCCAGAAACAACCTTCTTGAATCGGATGATCCACTTGCCACCATTGCAGTTAGCAGAATCCTAATAAGGTATAACCACAACAACCACAATGAAAGACCACTGGAAGACCATTACCATGAACAAGAAAAAAGCACAACAACAACGACACCAATAATCCTTAATTCAATCTACATTACTTGACTGTCGAGCACAACAACAACGACACCAACAATAAAAAAAATGGCACAAAAATCGCCCAACAAAACCACACATAATCGCACAAAAAAATGGTAAAATGACGAAAAAAATCAAACAATAATAATCAAGAGTAGTGCTGAAATTACCTAATATCGCTGAAATTCGAACACTAAAATCGCTGAAATTCTAGCCCTAAAATCGCCAAACTTTGAACCCTAAAATTGCCGAGAATAAATGAAAATCAAAATATGAAAAATGAAAAATCGACTTTAACTCATGGGAAATTCATGAAAATCAATCAGAAAATCGCATAAATCAAATCACAAATATCGCAAAAAATCAAATCGAAAAATCGCAAAATCTACTTGAACATCATGCGTTTTTCATGAAAATTTGAACAAAATCGAAAAAAAAAACGTATCTGATTTGAGCAATTTAGGTTGTTTATGCGAATTTGAACAAAAATTCTTCAATTTGCAGCAATTTGTGTTCAATTTTGGAATTTGAGGAGAGAGAAAGACAAGAGGTTTGAAAGTTTGAGGAGAAAGAGATGTTGAACGTGAAAGGCAAGAAGAAATAGCAAAGAGAGAAGGAGGTGTAATTCAAGAAATTACAAAAATGTCATTACTATGTTTTTTTTGGATGGTTAGATTTAATTTGATCAATGGTCTAGATTTGTTCTCATATAGATTAGAGTTCTCACATAAGAGGTGTGGTCTCATATGATCCCATTTCTTATATATATATATATATATATATATATATATATATATATATATATATATATATATATATATATATATATAAGTTATGACATAAGGGGTGTGGTCTCATGTGATCTCATTTGTGTCAGTTATATATTTTAAAAATTGGTATATAAATAATATATTTATTTTATTATAATACTAAATAGCCGGTATCGTCTGGGCACAAAACTAATTCGAATATAAAAATAGACCTTTAAGTAACCCGGGGTAGAATTCGAGATGAAAATGGAAGAACACTACGCAAGCTGAAGTAGTATTATCTTCATCCATTTCCAAAAACCGCTAATGGCGCCATTGCTGGGTAATGTGCTTCATCTTCGTTCGCCATTTTCACTTCCCATCAGCACCATCAATTGCTGCAACTTCACCACTAATTCAAAACTCCCATACATCCGAACATTAACAAGGAAGAATTGGATGAACAAGAAGAATCCACTGTTGTCCACCTTTTTCAGGTAATTATTTTATCTGAATTCTGGTTACCCACTTCATTGCAATCTCAATTTTTTTTTGCCCCATTTGATTATTTTTACTGAAATTCATATGTAGCTGTTTGTTGGGTATGCAACAATTTTTATGTGTAATGTTATTGTCCCACATTGAAAAAAGAGAGGGAAGTGAGATTAGTTTCATTATTTTTGGTGTGTTTAGAGAGCCCCAAACGGCAAGGCAAATGATGTAGACGTGATTCGAGCTGTGGTCATTGGTAGGGGTACTACCGCGACTCTAAGGACTTTATCTGCTAAGCTAGTTTGCATCCACGATAAGAAATAGGATGAACTTCAATTGTATTACAATTGGTTTGAAGACATTCTAGTTAGGTTGTTGATTTATGTATGTAGCTTTGGTGGTGTTTTGGAAATGTACGTTTATATGGTGAAGTTTCCATGATTTTGTAGTATGTTGGTCGCGCTGTTTCACCTAAGAGTGCTATCATTTGATTTTCAGGTAGGGGTTTAGGATGAATATTGCAGGATATTCTTGAATTATACTAGAAGTCTAGCAGAGTTGTAGAATTAGCTCCACAGTTATTGAGCAATGTGATGTTGGATATGAAAAACGGAATAAGCTTATAAGCTGAAAGATTTACATTTTTTTCTGCCAGATTAGTTGCAGTGGGCTCAGAAATATGATTGCTGATTATATGATATAAACCTGGGGAGATGACAATGATAACTACTACAATAAAGAATTATAGTTCATACAATAACTTTAAAAATCTAGATAATTTTCAGGGCTTTTGATAAAATTAAGACTAACAATAAGGCATGAAACATAAACCATTTGGTCATGGAGTTGATTGTGGCTTACTGTAATGTGCCTTCTTGGTCTTCGTAGTATGTACATGTCAACGTAATATCTAGCTGGTTCCGGGATATGTTAGTTGCTCTGCCTTGATTTGAGGATATTAAACGTTTGTTACCAGTCAATATTGATTCTTTACGGTATGCTGTATGATGTAATTTATCAACTTTAGTATGACTTATATCACATTCTGAAATTCTATTGTGTGTTTTTATTTTGTTTACTTGAGTAATGATGCTGTAATGTACCAATGTTTTATGATTTGAATCTTTTAAATGTATCAAAGTAAAAAATTAGACAAAGTAAACCACAAATAGACAGGTAATAGAGAAGATTGCAATAAGATTTAAGTGATGATAGTGTTAACTCCAGGAAAGGGGTGATAATGGGTTTGTTACAGATTTACATGGTTATCTCTATATTTTCACTTGGCTTTTCATCAATAATGCGTATTAGTGGATGAATTGTGAGCTATGTGGGCGTAATTTGTTCCATCTGCCATGTCTATTTGTGCTAGTTTTGAATTATTTGTAATTATATGTTTCCCTTGTTAAAACCATGCAGGAAACCTCACCATCTGTGGTATACATTGAAGTGCTAGAACTAATGAATAGCTCCAAGAAGTCAAAGGAAGCTTTTCTAGCTGACGAAAGTGGTGCAAAAGTTGAGGGGACAGGTTCTGGCTTCCTCTGGGACAAATTTGGTCACATTGTAGGAATTTTTGTTTTTTTAAAGTTTAAGCATCAAATTCATATCACTAAACATCAATAGATCTGATTGATTGCTGTGAATCATTCAAATTGCTTTTTATATAACCTGCCGTAGTATGTGGTTACGCTACATGTATCGTGCATGTCTTGGGTCATTCAGTTAAATTAATGCTTAAATGGAAGTAATAGTGATTCATCACTTCTGCTTTTATTTTCTAAAGTGGTCTCAAGATAAGATATTCATGCATAACCTCTAGGCTTGTAAATCTGGGAATTACATGATTTACATCCTCGATTGTTGCAATGAAAAGTGGGAAAGGGATATACAAAAGAGACAAAATAGTCTTCGAGGCTAAAAATGTTAGTGTTTTAACTACCTGGCTCCATTTATAAAACAGAGATGTAAAGACCCCACCTCCCCAAACAACATTTAGAGTATAACACAATATGATAGTATACCTTACACCTAACACATTAGAAAATAATGGATGTTTATGAATTCCATCACGACCGAATTACATGGTCCCTAAAATCCATCAAGAAGTTTTTAATCAGAACCTTCAGTAGTTTGAACTCTGAAGCCTCCATGAGTGCTGCAAGGGTAGTAAATGTTGGTGCAAACTAGAATGGAGGTGGAGTGGGATTTCATGAAAAAAAAAAATAAAAAAATAAAAAAAAATAAAAAAAAAGAAGAAGAAGAAACTATAAAAGTATTGTTGCATCTTGCATTCAATTAGAAAACATAGGGAACTGAGATGAGGAAGATTTCCTGAAATATTACAAAGGTGAGTATATAGAAAAAAAAAATGATAGAATAGAAGTATGATGGGGATATAGGGACTCATTGAGCTCTTAACGGAATATAGAAATCTTACTAATATATTGTGGGGAATGGGCATAAAAGTATTCTTACTTGTAATTAATGCTAGTAAAGCTGAATATCTAGGGGACTTTGCAAACAATGATTTGTTGTGGGATAAAGTCCCTTATTAGTGTCATTCTAGGCTTTATTGAGTTACTCAGCTGAGGAGGTTCAAAAACATTGGATTATTCTGTGATATTTGAACTTCTGCTGATAGGACATTTTGTCTTTATTGCTTCTACACCCGCCCCCTCTTTTTTTTCCCTTCTTTGCTATGAACACTTGACTACCATTGTTGCTCTTATTAATCAACTGTTCTTTTGAGTGGTTTCAAAAGTGAGCTACGTTTTCGTGTCTTCTCTCATATTGTAAGTTAGAAATTATTAAAATGGAATTTACTTCGTGTAGCTAATGAACTAAGTTAACTTACACATATCAAATTAACCTTGGATTAAATGACTTCAAATATGGTTGAATGTAGCTTTTCATATCTCTTTACATGGTTATAACTTGTAACATCAAACTCTAAGATTCTACCTGAAAGTTTATCATTGACATTACTGGGACTTCTGATTTTTATATGGCCATTTTCTGCTATTTCTGGCAGTATTTCTTAATTCTTGTGCCTACTTTTGATATTATGTGCGTGAATGCATTCAAAATGCCTTCATGATCTCTGTAACACATTCTGTCTTTGTATTGCTATGACTTTGGTATTTTTTCCATGTTCATTTACGAGTAAAACTAAGCTCTAGCACTTTCTTTCTTCTGTTAGACAATTGTATGCATCTATATTAGAGTTTTCTTAATTTAAATTTATTGGTGTTTTGTTTGATAGGTTACCAATTACCATGTCGTGGCTAAGTTGGCAACTGATCAAAGTGGACTTCAGTATTTTAAGGTTTTGCAACTCGTACTTATTTGAGGTTTAAATGGCTATTATGCCTTCTTACTTCTGCACGAACTCTCTGAATTCTGAAATACATGTTACAGGTGACTGTAGTAGATGCAAAAGGAAATAAAATTACAACTGAGGCCAAGATCATCGGTTTTGATCCAACATATGATCTGGCTGTTCTTAAGGTATCAAATGAGGCTTTATTTTTGCATTATAATATTTGGACCTCTTTGCAACATTGGGGCATGTAGAATCATTATATGTTGGTGATGAGAGATGGACTTTATCTTTTTAAATTTAATTTGCCCTCTGCGATTGCCTCTATGCTAGAGTGTTTTGGTGCTTTCTCTGGTAGCAAGGTTGGTGTACCATGGCAAGTGATTATCGAAGCAGTTATTACAGAAATTGAAGCCGATTTCTGAAATAAAAGTAGAGATTTTTAAATTTTTCATGTTTGGTAATTTGGGACCCTTATACAGTATACTAGTTAGTAATCATTACCACAAATGTTAAGTAGGGCTCCATTTCGTCTGTCGCTACAATGTGAATATACAATCAATTTTCTGTAAGGGCAATACAATCTTCTCCAGCTTTCTTCAGTTCTTGTTTATAGGATTTATTTTTATTTTATTTTTTTATTTTTTTTTATTTTTTATTTTTTTTTCCCTTAGTACATCTATTTTTGTAAATGGTAGCAGACAATTCTCTGTCAATTCTGCATTTTGGAGTAAATTCTAATTATTTTATTTCTGGTGTAGTTTGATCCTCAGGGAAAAGAGTTAACGCCTGCTCTTCTAGGAACATCAAGTAATCTGCATGTCGGCCAGAACTGTTTTGCTATTGGGAATCCTTATGGTTATGAAAACACTCTAACAACTGGGGTATACCCTTGCAAGCCAACATTTGCTACTAGTAACAGTTGAATATCTTTTTTACTGGTGATATGCTGGATTTCTTAAATGTTGGACAAATTGTTAGTTTGTCGCATTAATTGTGATCTTATTTATTTTATTTTTTTTAAACTTGGAGGATTAACACCTATTATGCTAATCACCTATATATATATAAAAAAGAAATTTCAAATAACCCCTCATTCCTGTTTCCCTGAGCTGAATTATCATTGTTTACCTATACACTTTTACTAGAGCAAGATTTCAGTTATACGGATTTGCATTTTGCTTGTTAAGGACTGAATGTATCAGAAAGTATACTAGAATGGCATGATTCTACTAAAGAATACAGCATTGGGCTGTTATATGTGTTACCTTTTCTGGTTTACTGATAGATGATTTATGCTATACTCATGCTATCTTTTGGAGTAACAAGGTCACTTTTGTAGCTATAGAATTAACCAAATTACTGCTTCAAAAGCTGGTTTCTTATCTGTCAGAGCTATAGATCATAATTACCAAATACTTAATGATGTGTAATTAGATTTTTAAATTTTAACCCAGGTAGTAAGTGGTTTGGGCAGAGAGATACCATCTCCAAATGGACAGGCCATTCGAGGAGCCATACAAACAGATGCTGCCATTAATGCTGGTAAAACTTGAGAATAGCATATAAAAAGTTTCTCAATTTTTATTCTAGACTTGCATATTACAATACTTGTTTCTCATCATTTCTTAGAGCCTAAATAGGGTATAATTTTGCACAGAACCAACCCCTTACAAGATGGACCAGCAATCTGTTTACATTTTCTTTGACAATTTATCCTTATTTTAGCATATTGATCTCAGGAAACTCAGGAGGGCCATTGATTGATTCATATGGTCATGTCATTGGTGTGAATACTTCGACATTTACTCTCAAAGGTGAGTAAATTTCATCATATTATTTCCTTTTTGTTTGTTTTCTCGAAGGAAGAAGGAAGCAGTGGATTTGCACTAAGTAGAATCTCGTCAAGTAATTTATTTTAATTAGAAACGTAATAATTCGGTCAAAATTGTTTTGGCAGTCTTAACTCTGAATTTGCTGACTCTGTCTCATGATTTGCTATGATATTTCATATAAATGACGCCTATTGTTTTACTCTCCCAGTCTCTTGGATGTGTCCTGTTGCAATCTACAGATATGACATTTTACTTTCTCATGTTTCAATCTTTAGTCCTTAACTATAAATTTGACTGATAAACAGTAAAACAGTAGATTGTAGATTTTTTTTTCAAGAAAATTTGTCTGATAGTTAGGCCTTTTGGGTAAGGTTTAAGGGATTCTTCCCTGGAAGGTATCCCGTCCCATCTTGCTCTTGATGTTAGTTGTTTGCTTAACATTATGATTCAATAATAAATGCTCTGTTCATTCATTTAACATATATAAATAAATAAAAACGTAAATAATTTTTTTTTTATTCTAATACTCTTTTCATTTTCTATGTAGATGAAATTTTATGTATAGATGTGTCAAATGTTATTGAAGCATTTGGTTAAAACTGTATTGATAATGGTATTATATGGATGGGTAATTGGCTATGGATCCTATGGATTATTAACCCACAAAATATAAATTTAAAATAAAGAAACATACTAATTCATATTATTTGTCTTTTAAGTTTAAAATCTCATTTTTCAAAATGCAAGGTTTAATTTATATGAGATGAGCATCCATATTTTGAAAGACTATTGCAGAAATTTCAGGAGATTAGCGCATGGAAGCTCTAACATGTCGCTAATTTTAATGTTTTCTGATGTATGTAGGCTGTGATCCCTTTTTCCTTACTGTCTGAATTTGATTCTAATATACTGTACTGTTTCTTCCTACCATCAAACTTTGTCAAATGCAGGCTCTGGAATGTCCTCTGGTGTTAACTTTGCGATTCCAATTGACACTGTATTGCGGACTGTACCTGCTCTTATTGTCTATGGAACACCTTATTGTAACAGGTACTAGGACTACTAGCTGAATTGCTATTGAAATTGGCATCTCTAAGCATTCCTGTGAGTTAAAAATCAAATGTGAAAATCATTCTCGTTAGTCGTAATTTGAAAAGCTTTCAAGTGCTGGGTGATTGTTGCATGGCTCTCCTATCATTCTGTAATTATATGCTAATTTTTTTGTAAAAAGAAATATTACAAGCAACTGATTATGGCAGTCATGTATATTTCAGATACTTCTGAAGAAAGATATATACAAAAAATTTCTGCATTGCTCTTATTTTTTGATGTTAGAAATTTAGAATTGGGTGGTGGTGTTTTCTGGGCCTAAAAGCTTGAGAAGACTTTTTTCTTAATAGTAAAAAATGTTGATCTTGTTTTGAACAAGGCACCATTTGTCGTTTGGAAAGTTTGAATTGATTCACATACACACTGTTTTGAATATGCTTGGTTCGTCACCGCGTAAAAAATCAACCAGCAACTTAGCAAGTGCAATGATGGTGTAACTTGCCCCATCAGAGGTGGCTGAAGATCCATAGATTTAGGATACAAATCCAACCAGAAAAAAATGTCCTATTGACTCGAACGACAATAATTCAGAGAAAATTGCCCCATTGTCTCGATCAATAATAATTATTCAGTTAGGAGTATTACCGCAAATGAGCCAAGCTGAGCAAAGCAACAAACTGAGCTAGAGTAAGCTCATTTTGAGACTAAAACATGCCAAGCTGATCTTGAAAACAGACAATCTCATTTTCCTTGCAAAAAATTGTTTGACAATTTCTTCAAACCTTGAAACATAATACTCGTTTATAATAATTAGATTTAGATTTAGTACCAAACAAACCTTGCAATAGACAATAGTACTAGTACTAGAGAAAAGTATAAACTGTAAATTCTTGGAAAAGATATAAAGTGTTGATGAGATAAACTAATCATTTCTATTTTTAAGAAGGGCCCTTATTTTTGGGACAATTGCGGGGCCAAAGCCATTGGAAACGCAGGTGCTTACAGCCTAAGCAAGCAGCTTTCAGCCTTTCACGGCTTAATCTTATCATCTCTTTCTAATGATGACTCTTTTTGCTGAATTTTTATGTGACAAGATTCAGACATTCTCTGAAAATCATGGCTAGCAAAATCACTCCCGAAAATAAAAATTAAAAAATGCTCATTGACGGGGTAGTGTAATGTTTTGTGCAAATCATGGTGTTGGCCGTTGTACCATGGCATTTTACGTAGTGTAAAATGTTAATTCGTATAAAATAAGTGTAATACACGATTTTGTCTTTGTAAAGAGGTTTACAAAGTTTGTTGAGAAGTCGAAATAGGTGGTTTTTCCTAGGTGGCCTATGTGTACTAGTCCAAAAAGAATAATCGACTGTTTTGGGTAAACCAAATTGTATATTTTCTTTGTTTATACTAGTTGGGTCACCTCGTGCTATTTTATTCTATTTCATTGACGAAATTTGTAATTGTGTGTAACAAAATTAAGATTATGTTCTCTTCACCTTATTCAAATAAAATTAAGCAAAAATAATTTATATTTAGTGAAATAAATTTAAGTTTAGTAAACTAAAGTTAATTTTAGCAAAAAAAAAATTAAAAAATAAAAGTTAAAATAAGTTTTAATCATTCACAATCATTAACATTGAATAAAAAAATATAATAGAGAATTAGTAAAAAAAAAAAAGTTTTAATTAGTACAATTTTAGTTCACCAATACTATAATTTTAAGCTCAGCGGAAATAAAGCTAAGACTTGAGAGAATAGGGCCTAAGTACCTATTATAAAAAATATAATCACATAATATTATAATAATGTATTTTTTTTTTATCTTTTTCTTATAAAGTAATCCTCTATTTTCCCAAATCTTTATGTCATTACATACATACATACATACCTTCTCATATATATATATATATATATATATATATATATATATATATTTAAAAGAAAAAAAAGACTACTTTCATATAAACTACCCTACTTTCAAAGCTTATTGAATAAAAGTCTTCATTTTTTTACATTTTTAAAAATTCCTCAACTTTTAAGAATATTACATCCTTTTTCACTACTCTTAATTCATATCCTATTTTCAAGGTAAAAAAAAGTGTGTGATATATCTATAAATTTCATTTATCATTTTTTATCAATTTTGTTCTTGGTAAAAACAAAGTCATACCTTCATTTACAGTTCTTTTCCCTCTATATTTAACGAAATCATAATTATTTAGTTTTTTAAAATATGACCAATATATATTAAGTGCATAACCATGAGTAACTATAGTTGGAAATGATTTGGAAAATTCCCCGAAATTGTAAATAATTGTAAAATTCCAATTAAATACTCTAATTTCCAATCATTACTCTCAAAATCTTCAAATTTCATAATTTATAAACTTTTGTTTCAGAATTTTTTCCCTTGGCTTCGATCTCCAAAATAAATAAGTTAAATCCTTTCCACGTAATTTCTTCTACGATAATGAGATTTATGTGTAATATAATTTTTTTTTTTCTAAGCGTAGATATTTTTCATGCATTAGCACATGTGTACTCTATTGATATTAAGTTTTAAAGTTGATCACCTTAAACTAGAGAGTAGACTAAAAGTCCAAAACCAATGCAAAATCAATAAAGCTTATGATATAAATAGTGAATAAACTATAAAGTCAAAACATGTTAACTAATAGGAAAAAGAGGAAGTAGGTTAAGAATAATTTAAAACAATCCTTCAATTTGTGGAAAGTCACAAAGATTCTAAATATATATAGGAACATAGAAAAATAAAGGGAATAACCAAAATTACATTCACAATATCTAAATTCCAATCAATGTTTTGTTTTCCTAAAGTTGTATTCACTTTTACTTTATTTCTTTATGATATTTTATTATTATTATTATTATTATTATTATTATTATCTACTACCTCACCAGCATGACTAATCTCATTCCTATTCAAAGCATATTTATACTAACATGAGTGATCTCTTTTTCACCTTTCCTTATTTTTGTTACTATGAGGGCATATATATATACTAACATGAGTGATCTCACTCTCACCTTTCCTTGTTTTTGTTACTACAAGAACACAACATATATAATTGCAGGCATAAATATATTGACTTGAAAATATAATAGTAATAGTATAAGCATTTATATATTTATCCTTGATACACAAAATGATAATAATTTATAAAAGTGCTATGTACATTGTATAGTTGTAGCCTCACAGTTGGTAAATAATTCAAGAGCGCTTCGGAAAAGCTTCTTTTGTGCCCCCTTTTTTTCCATAGGATTTTGTATAATCATCATCTTATAGTAGTCTAATCATGCTATTGTTACTATTGTTCATTTATCTATTATGATTTAATTACACTTATTTGTTCAACTATTATGTATGAATATTCATTCATTAGTGGTTACTTTCCTAAGATACATGCATGTGTTATTATAAAGGTTAGTACGTATAATATAGGATATCTCTAAACAATTTGGATTTTATGTATCAATATATGTAATACTAAATGTATACTCTCTTCGTATTTAAATAAGTGAAACGTTTTAACTTGTTATACTATTCATCTAATTTACTTTGACTAATGTTTGTGATTTATACATAATAATAAATATAGTTTTGTGGGAACTTGTTGGAATCATCTCAATGAATAGTTTATTAATAATCAATTGTTATAATTTTTACCTATTGATAATTAAAGATATTATAAGTCAAAGTTTTGCATTGACAGGAGACACTTGCGCAAATGTATATTAATACAAAGATACATGAGAAACCTATCACTTATTTTACAGAGAGATTATATTAATACGAAGAGATTGTGCACAGGAGAACATACGAAGAGATTATATTAATATGAAGGTACATGAGACAAATGTATGGTAGTTACGTCATATATAAACAAAAAAAATTAACTATAAATTATATATACTTCCTACGTTTTTTTTAGTTGACACGTTTTGACTTTTTGACTTTAGTACTAATCACACACTTTCCTTTGATGACCTTGTTTTGTGATTTATACGTAATGGAAATATAGTCATGTGAGATGTTGTTAGATTCGCCACGATATATATTTTCAATATACCAACTTGTTATAATTTTTGCTTATTGATAATTAAAAATATTAATGATTGAATTTGTGCATTAACAAACATGACAGAAGAAACGTGTCAATTAAAAAGAAATGAAGGTTATATATAATACAAATACTACCTCCTTTTCTGAAAGTTCAACTCACTTACTGTTCATGTGGTCAAAATAAAATAACTTTGACCACATTTTATGAGCTACACAATATAATTTAAATTAGCATGTGAGATCATATTAGATTCCCCTTATTATAAATAATCTAAATATCAACTTTTTACAAATTTTACTTATATGCAACCGGAGATATTCATGGTCAAAGATGTTTATTAGAGGCCGCGCAATTACAAAGAGGATCGAAATTTCAGGAACGGAGGGAGTACAACTCCGCGTCTTTTTTATTTCTTGCTTTGATTTTTTATGGTAATAAAATAAAATTATTATAAACAAATGTGATTGTATTATGTGTTTAACCGAACAAAAATCTTGTTCACAACTGATTATCTCAAAACTCATTTTAGCTCAGTAAAACCTTGATATACAAACTGGGTCATATGTCCGTCAGTCGGTCATCAGTCATCACTATCTACTACGTACATAATTATACCAATAAAGGCCCCACATATTACTAACAAAAAATAATAAAAAAAAGGATATAGAAGGAATTTGTCAAAAGATATTACTGTACAAATGCCCTTTTATCACAAACCATGAATTCTCTTTTTAGTACTCCGTATAGTATAGATATCTATACAAAATAAAACAAAATAAAAAAATGCTCCGAATAGAAAATGTTTTGGTATTTTCTTGTCTATTAACTATTACTGAAACATAAAATTGCTTAGATCATCCTCTCCTCAACCTGTATACGTGTCGCTCTTTTGTAAAAAAATTCCCGCCTAATGCACTTATGATGTCATTTATATTTTTGTTTTTTTAGGAATCGTTTATTTTTAATCATTTTTATTTCAATCTTTGACTGTGTCAATAAATAAATAAATAATTTTTTTGGTTGGAATAAATAAAATTGATATTGAGCTAAAACATTTTAGGCAACTACGACGTTTTTTTTTTATTTTTTATTTTTTATTTGTGTGTGTGTGTGTAAACTAAGGATTGTGCAAGCAACCTAGCTATGAAGTCATGTAATAATAAT